AATGACACGGGGCCCGAGCAAAAAGGTGCCACAAAAAAAAAAAAATGACCGAATTATATAAGTGCTTTAAACATGTAGGCACGCTTCTATACTCGAACTGGAAGACCACACAAGAGTACTGCATTCCTGATGCAAGCTTGGCCCCTTGCAACAACTGCTTGCCAGCTGGGTCACTACAAGAGAACAAGTCGTCAAAGGTAGTTCGGGCCCAGCCAAGTAATTGGGTTGATGTCAAAGTAGGGCTCGGCAAACATGAACTGATATTGCCGACTTAGGCAGTTGACGTTTCACTTCGTGAGCTGTCCGGCTGGTGAAGAAACTAAAGATGTTCTGGACTAAAATAAGCCTTCCCCTACCCCCAAGACAAAACCCCTTAAATATTAAAGGCTTACCTCAGAGCTTCCAGCACCACCACCTGGCGCTTTGTTTTTTGGCATCGGCTCAGGTGGTGCCAGACATGTCAGTGGAGAGGCTGCGCCCAGATTGCAGCCAGCTATTCGGGGTTCAGACATGTGGTTGAGGGTTCAGGTAACATAGAAGTCTGAATATTTACCAATACTATTGTGAGGGCTCCTTATTATAACTATAGCATAGTATACCCCGAAGCCCTATTCTAATATTAAGGCCCCTACATTAAATCCTGAAGCCGGCACCCTGACCATGACCGATGCACAGATTCAGCCTCGGCCTGAGAAAGTGCGAGCTAGTGCATTGCAAAAGCTTCCGTCTCTCTATGCCATGGCTTGAGAAAAGGTTTTATCGCGTCTTGGTTAGAGCCAGGTTTGAGCTGCAAGCCGGGTGTCTTGGTTAGAACAAGTGTTGAGCTGCAAGCCGGCCTGGTTGCAAGTGAGTATTCCTTACTGGTGTTATCTCGCGATCTTCCTTTCCCTGAGGAGGGTGACAGCGGAGAACGCCTTCGAAATCGATGGTGTCCTGTCCGAAACTACCTTTCTTGTGGAAGCTGTTGCAAGCCACTAACAGGTTGCCTTAGAGGTTGAGAGAGCATGTTGTAACCTCAGTAAGAAGCTCGTCGTTCCAAACCCGCCAGGGTGCATGGAGCTCCGTCCGACAAGCATCGGTTCCTACAGCATAAACTCTCCCTGTAACAACATAATGTAGAGGCCTTAAATTAGAATAGGGTTTTGCGGGTTCCTTATTATAACTGAAGTATAATGGGCCCCAAACCCTATTCTAATTATTAAGGCCCCCATATTAAACTCTCCCTGTAACAAAGCTTTGCGCTACACCGCTACGATGAATAATTGACAGAAGCGAACTTCGAAGCCCAAACAGTACAATAGCCACGAGACTGGAGAAAGTCGTTCCAACAGAAGGTTCGGCCACCAAAGCCAGGAAACGAAATGCCCAGAGCAGGCGATGGTCAAAGGTGTCAGCAGCAGCAGCAGAAGCAGCAGCAGCAGTGTCGACGACAGAAGCAGCCACAGACAGAGGCCACGAACCAAAGCAGCAGCAGCCGCAGCAGCAGTGGCGACGACGGAAGCCGGCAGCAGCAGTGGCAGTGGCGACGACAGAAGCCAGCAGCGGCAGCAGCGGCGACGACAGAACAGCCACAGCGGCAGAGTGCCAAAGCAGCTGCAATAGCAGCAATAGCAGCAGCGGCAGCAGCAGCAGCAGCAGCAGCAGCAGCGACGGCAACAACAACAGCAGCAGCAACAACAACAGCAACACCACCACCAGCAGCAACAACAAGCACAACCACAACAACGACGACGATGACCGCAAAAAGCCAGCCATGGTAAACACACTGCTGCAAGCACCACCGCGATAGCTCAAACAGAAGCAGCGACAGCAATCCCAGCCAAACGCCAAGGGTCCTGTTCCGCCGTGCAGACCCAGAATTTTACTCCATTCGCCTTGCTGGCCCGGCGGAGCTATGAACCGTGAATTCCAAAGAAGACAACTTACAGGATTCCGGGACGAAGAGCCAAACCGTAAACCGTAAACACTAAAGCACACAAAGGTTGAAAGTCCGAAAGCCCGAAGTAGGGCACTTGTACTTCTACTTACAAGCTACCTAGTAAGTCTCCTGATCCTTCAATCATGGCTAAGGGTTTCTTATAGCAGTTGCTCGTGACGACATGAGGGGGAGCCCCCCGACTACCGGCAGGGTAATGTTATCAAAGGTGGTTCTGTCAGGGCTCAGTGACGCATGGTGCTTTCAGATTGAATGTTCTGCGAAGGTTGCCTACCGCAGGGGCACCAGCTCATCTTTCCACTACTCGTGCGCACGCTTCCTCTCGATTTGGACCTGACCAGCACCGTCGTGCAGGCGCTCTGTTTTACGAGAGCCTATCGTTGCAAGTTGGTAGCACCTTGGAGCTGTTCTGAGTCAGGATACTCTTCAAAGCATTGATGGCAGGAGCGGTTTATGATTGTAGATTCCAGAACTTAGGACAGCCCCACAGGTTAGTGGATGCAGGCCACGAAGTTTGCAACTTTGGTTCCAGATATTGCTTGCTCAGTCTAGCTCCCAAATGCTCTAGACTCTGAACTCTCAGGATGTTTCATTGGTGTTTACTGTTAGGCTTTCAGGAAATGAAAACTGTGACCTCGGAGAACATTAACCCCAACAGGAAGTCCTAAATAATTGCCTATATTATTCCTTAGGTTCCTTACTTTACTTGTATTAGAAAAGGAGCCCAAAGCCCAATTCTAATCATTGAGGCCCCTATATTTATGAAAGGCCCGAAAGACCATGTAACCATCCGAATTCGCACAAACTGCCCCTTGCACCCCGGATAAGGGATCCTTTCGTCTGATCTAAACCCTAAACTCCTAAACCCTAAACCCCAAACCCTAAATCCTAAACCCTAAACCCTAAACCCCTAAACCCTAAACCCCGAGGCCCCACCACGAAAATGAGAACGCGGAAATCCTGAACCCAGGATCCTCGCCCTGATGGCCAAAGTCCCGGAACCCCAAGGCACCCCAGCTTTAGTGCTCTTTGGCACGATCCTTAATGTTTATTGCAATAAAAACTCCTGGGGATTATTTGGGAGTTTCCAAAAATTAGGGTACCTTATTTTGGGGTCCTTATAATAAGGGTCCTACTATTTAGGGTACTATATTAGGGTCCCCTATTGTTTAGCAGTATTGTTTCTTTGTACGGTTCTAAGGGCTCTTAATCCACCTCCCCTCGCTAGCAAAACCGGGATGGAGAGCACATGCAACTAAAGCGTATTCCGGCCAGGCTGGGCTGACAGATGCCGACCTTTCGGCAATCATCCAGAAGCCACGGACTTTCTGGAACAGCGGTGAAACAAGGCTCTTACGGTTTCTTGCTTAATATGGGGGCCTGAATGATTAACACTACTATTTTGGGAGTTCGTTATTTTAATTATAGTGCAATACACCCCAAAACCTTATTCTAATTGTTAAGGCCCCTACATTAGGTTTATTCGAGCAGGGTGCTTTCGAGGCTTTGGATTGTTCTGGAGGGTTTTGGGTGGTTGGGGCAGCGGGTGTTGTGGTGTGTGGCTTTCGGAGACCTGGCTGCAAAGTTTGAGGGTTCAGGGTTTGAGAGTTTAGAGTTTATTGAATAGTATTGGTTAGGATGAAACTCTGCAAAGGTTGAAGCCTGCCCTGATTTTTTCAGGATTGCTCGAATACTTTTGGTCAACCGCAACATGAAACGAAGTTATCGAATTGATAGTCTTGTGGGCTAACTTGGAACAGACCTCTGTAAATTTCTCGGATGTAAAGACTTCATGCAGTCAGTACTCTCGGTACAGTATTATGCCACATACCCCGAGAAAACATCCCAGCACATCCTGCATGCAAAGGGACCTGGACGGTAGTTTTCGCATCTGTCATGCCGTGCTCAAGGGTCTCAGGGACCGGCTGCAGCACAACCATTTAATAAAGGAAGCTTAAATGATTACCAGTACTCCTGTTAGGATTCCTTATCATACTAATACTATAAAGTAGCCCAAAACCCTATTCGAATTATTAACGCCCCTAAATTTAATCCTAAACCCGAAACATTTCGCCATGCAACGAGCGAGCATTTTATCAACGCTCTAGGTCTACCTTCCGCGCTCAGTTCACTACTTTTGCAGGGCCATCAACAATCAGCCGGTTGCTCGCAGAGATGTGATTGCTCACAGCTGTCTGCGAACATAGTAGCCAAGAATACGACAGCACACCTCGGCAAGTCGTCAACATAGGCTTTGGGTCCAGGGCTGCGAGTTTGAAAGGAAGCCCAAAAGACTAAATTTGCTCAAGGGTGTCCCTTTTGAGACCCATGTGAGGTGGAATGTGAAGCTCCGGTCAGATGGCGTACTGGAACTACCAGGCCCTCTCTTCCTGATGTTTCTTGGCTCAGATTTCTGTGCATGCACGACAACGGTTTAGAGTTTAGGGTGAAAGTCGTCTTCGTAGTAGTAGCACGTATTGCCCCGTACTATTCTAGCCGCACAGGCGCACACTGAACCTTTGTATGTTTCGTGATGACCAACCCCAGTCTTCGGGTTTTTTTGCTGACAAATCTTTTGACGGTCGTCTCACTGTCCATAGGAAAACTTGTTTCAGCAGGCTTGATGCCGCGTTTGCGGTGTTAATGGAAAAGCTGCCGCCCATAAACAGCTAAGCCAGCTAATGCTCTACCTCTTGAACGACAGATGGTTTTGTCCTCCAATGCTGCGCTTTCGCAGAGGAATTGATGCTCTTCGTACGAACCGAAGACCAGTCCGTTCCGCAGGAACGGGAGTCGTAATAGCATCGAGTGTTTTCGTGCCGTACGTTTGGGTACAAGATGTAGTGTGGACGTGGTATCCACCACGGTATCATGTAATAATGCTCTCTTTATGGGTGGTTCACAAAGAACTCTGTAGGAGTGAGTGGTGCCTGTTCACGAAGTGATTCACCTCACAGTTTCTGATGTTGCACGACTTTCAGCTTCAACCAGTCGTCTTTCGGGAGGACCGCAGTGGAAACCTGAATTCTGTGTCCCCTCGCTGCAACCCTAAACCCTAAACCCTAAACCCGTTCACAGTATTGTGGAAGAGCCAGGTCTACGGGGGCCTTCATCGTTAGAATAGGGTTTGGGGGTATAGTACACCATAACTATTTTAAGGAAGCCCCAAAACCCTTTTAAGGCCCCCACATTACTGGCAACGTTCTGTAAATCATCGTTAAGGTTCAGGCTGGCATGAGTCCAGAAGGTCACGAGCGGAGATGACTAGCCACCCAACTCGGAGCCGTCAATCTGACTCAAGACCGAGGAGGGTGAAGGACGTTCTCCTGAATTCATGGTCCTTTGCAGCTCTGATGGAGGACGCGGGGAGAATTGCACCCGAAAGTTACTGGATGGTGTTACGCTATACTACACTATACCCTCTTCTGTGTTCATCTTAATAAGCCCAGAGCGCCCAGGAGTCATTGCTACCAGGAGTATCCCTTAGATGCTGGAAGGATCTTTGGTCCGATGCAAGATGTATTGCCCCATAAAGGGGCCTTAATAATTGCCTATACTAATTTGGGGGTTCCTTATCATAAAGATAGTATACTATGCCGCAAAACCCTATTCTAATTATTTTAAGGCTCCTACAGTAACATGGTATAGCCTCGTCTCATGGAAACCCCTAAACCCTAAATCCTAGACCGGAGCCCTTTGACATGGCACTATAAGAATTATACCTTCTACCCTGAACCCTGTACCCTTGTGTAGGGTTTAGGGTTTAGAGTTCAGGGGTTTTGGGTTTAGGGGGGTACCCAACATAATGACAAGGACGGCTCCGTGAAGACCGGCTCTGTGGACACAATGGTATTGAACCAAGGAGGTGGGCGGCGTGGGGGATCCGGGGACGGAATCCGAGGAAGTGAGTGCAAATTGCCTTAATTGCGTATAGACCATGGCTGTTTGGTTATATGTCTGTGTGCACGTTCGTACGTACGTTCGTCTGTATGTGTGCATGGATGTATGTATGTATGTATGTATGTATGTATGTATGTATGTATGTATGTACGGTATGTATGCATGCATGCATGCATGCATGCATGCATGTATGTATGTATGTATGTATGTATGTATGCATGTTTGTTGTGCATGTTTGTTATGCATACATATGTGTGTGTATGTATGTTATGTTATGCTATGCTATGCTATGTTATGTTATGTTATGTTATGTCTGTATGAATGTCTGTGAGTGCAATGGTATATACATATGTGTATACATAGATATATATGAATACACGGGATGGTTGAGCAGGCACTTTACACCCCACTTTACAACCTTGTGATCGCTTCCAAGTAGACTGCAACTTGCTGACAATCCGACAGCCGTATGAGATGATGCCTTTTGGCGGTCTTGTAAAACCTTTCATCAGGATTTCCCATGGGTTGTATAAGCTTTGATACGGTTTTACCGACAGGAACGTCAAAAGGGCTGTGGTTCGGGAACGAGCCGCTGTTGATTGCGCTGGCTTCCCTTCGTTTAGGGACCTTGGTAAGTGGAATAGGGCTTTGGGATTAGGGTTTAGGGGTTTAGGGTTTAAGGTTAGGCTTGGGGGTTTATCATAGTCCATTATATGTCTATAGGCACTACAGGGCTCTTTCGGATCCATCCAGGTGACAGCAGAGACGTGCAGCACATTCTCTACAATGTGAGCTGGCCTGCTATTGGTAACCGAAGCATAGAAGAAGCGTTATCCGAAAGGACGCATTCTTAGACAGGGTGTGTGTGTGTGTGCCAGTTTGTTGGAGACAACAGAGCTTCAATTTCCTTATGCCCTTCAACTTGTGTATGTGGAGGCTTCGGTATACGTTACTTATTTTGTTTTCCAACCTCTTGCACATGTTAGATAGATTGTACGACAAAGACACAGAAAACCTCAACCTGCCGGCAGATGTGTGAGGCAAGGGTGATGAGTCTCTCGACAGTATCGGGTGAGAATTGCCACGAAAAGCATGAAGCCAGATAGATCAGGCCCATGTTGTTAAGACGGTAAGCTGCAAAGCTTCTGACTTGAAACCCAAGCCTTGACTTGTCTAAGCATAGAAGCCCGCCGAAATGTTGCCATGCTTGGTTTCATTAAGCGCTGCATTTAAAGAGACTTGTACGTGACCTCCGTTTGTAGCAAGTTATTCCCTGAGCCTGAACCCCTAAAAACTGTAAGACCTTCAGCAAACCCTGTCAAGAACTGCAAAGCCGCATACAAGCCCACACACCCAGTAAACCGAAGCTTCAGGTGAAGAGCCTAGCTGCCAGCGACTGGGCATTCGCAGCCCTGCGCGACGACGGCAGAGTGGTCTCTTGGGGTGATTCTGAGCCTTAGTCGATGAGTTTGCAACCTCTTTACCTCTTGGCCTGATATCATGTCCCGATATAGGGGCCTTAATAATTAGACTGGGTTTTTGGGCCCAATATACTACAGTTATAATGAGGAACACCCAAAATAGAAAATAGTAAAGGCAGTTATTTAGGCCGCTATACTAGGCCACCTGGATACTTTATACTTACCCCCTATTGGGTCGAAGAAGATCTTATGAGCGAGCATGTTTTAAACATGACCTAAGGGCCAACCGAGTACCCTTTGAGAAAGGGCAGCTTCAGCCCAAAACCCTAAACCTTGAACCCTAAAACCCTCAACCCTGAGCTCTGAACCCTAAGCCCCTTAAAGCCCTAAAGCCCTACACCCTAAACCCTGTTTTGGCCAAAGAGCCGGAAGTGAGGATCTCGGAGGCGATTGTGGGCATGTTCGCGAACAGCTTGTCGAGGCTGGATGTAGGGTTTCAAGTTTCGGATCTAAGAGTGGAACCCTAAACCTGAAACTAATTTGCGGACCGAAAAAGGAGCGCTGAAAAAAAAACAAACCCTAAATCCTAGTATGAGGTTTATGAAACGGCATCACGAAATCAGTGACCGAGGAAGGAGTGGGAAACCGAAAATGAGAGGCGATGCTAAGGCAAGGAATCGAGGGTCCTGACGTGCCCAGGATTTAGGGCTTAGGCGGTTAGGGTTTAGGCGCTTCGGGCTTAGAGTTTAGGGTCGTTGTGTATTTATCCGGACATCTCATGACCACATGCTGACTGATTCTCCACCCGTCACACAATTGGAGTGCGAAGCGCTGGCCAATCAGCAACGGCCTCTCCCTGTGAGAAGTTCCCCTGTAATATCGGACAATACGTTTTGCTTGAAGTTATCACAGGGTCCTCCACTCCACGGAGGAATGGAAGAGCGGGGAACACTATATCTGGTGCTAGTAAACTGCTGGTACTTGCATCGTCCGGATCCTCGCTGTTGTATGCCCTAGAGGCATCCTTATGCCTCAACTATAGAATCCTTATGTCTACCTTTCTGGTGTATTATTAGCAGAGCTTGTCGCGTTGGAGGCTTGGGTCTGGCTATGTAGGCACCTCTTTGACAGACAGTGCGCCAGGTCACGCAACTTGCAGGATGTTCTGAAGGCTTCGCCGCTTTGACAAGGCATGGCGTGATCACCTGGGGAACTCCGGAGATCGACATCAGACATGATGACCGCATACGACCGGAGCTCCACAGCATCAGCGAAGCAGAGCCGTAGTTGGTAGTAGTTTGCATGTCGGGTCTAGAAGAACCTGCACTTGAACTAGCTACTCCTTCTTCGCAAGTTGAAAGCCGCAGTAAGGAAGTCATGGGTCTTCGCAGTGCTGCGGATTTCGCGGCTTTCCGGACAGATGGTGTGGTCATCGCATGGGGTGTACACGGCGACTTCTTGCTGCCAGGGGTTCGACAGCTGGAGGCCTCCCAGGAAGCCTTTGCAGCTTTGTTGCACGACGGGTCGGTTCAGGTTTGGGGGAACAGTGACTACGGTGGTGACTCGTCAGCAGTTCGACACCTTCAGAACGTTCTTCAGATTACTGCTTCATGGGCTGCTTTCGCCGCGCTCAAAGAAAACGGCACGGTGACCTCCTGGGGATCGCCTCAAGCTGGTGGAGACCAGGGCGATGTGGTGGATCGCTTGGTGCATGTGAAGGGTATCACCACCAACAGCACCAACTTCGGGAGCTGTGTTGGGAATCCATAACACACGGGATGCAGAAAGAAGATAAACCTCGCCCTTACTCTCTCCCCAGAGCTGTAACGCTTCGGAAGTTGCTGGAGAATTGGAGCTCATTGCTCGAGATTCAGGTGCCAAGGCTTTCTGAGGCAAAGAGTTTGGGACGTGAACGCTTGGAGGTTTTGCACGTCATCCTCATTAGCCTCTCGGAGTCCTGAATAGGCACCCTAAACCCGAAACCCTAAGCCCTAAAACCCTAAACCCGAAGCCCTAAACCCTAAACCCACGCTGAGCCCTCAACCTGCTCAGCTGCCACAGTTCGCGAAAAACTCCGCGAGGAGCGGCTTCATGGCCACCTTGGTGACTGGTGAGCAAGTCTGTTGGCCTCCAGATGGTCTTTCTTTGCAGCGAACGCCACAGGATTCGTTCAGACAGCCTTAGTATATGAACAAATATATATATATATATATATATATACGATACAAGTATCCTGTATATTTCTGGGATGATCTAGTAGACATGTGGACGTGTGGACTTGCCCCCGCCCCAATGGGGTGCTTCCAGCATCTAAACCAGACAGCTGTGGCTCGAGATGATGCCTCTAAGTGCCGAAAGTCGGTACCAAAATTTGCGCTTTCTCCGGGTCCAGCATTGATTTTTGTTCGCAAAGCTTTTGTCCAGCGGCGGTGGTGTCTTCGAAAGAGGTCTTACAGCCGCGTGATACGACAGCTTTATGAGATGATGGCTCCCCTGGCTGCCAGATGTCCCATAGTTTCACTTCTCACTTGTCTTCGCAGATGAGACTGCTTCGAGAATCGCGCAAATTTTACCAAAAAGGACGGGACGAATTCACAATAGAATAGAATGGTTTATTCTAGAAATGTTCAATCTTGACGTTCATATCAAAACTTGAAATATTAATCAGTATATCTTCCAAATATTGGGGCTCGATTATTTTTGAAATATTAGATTATTAGAAAATTGTATAAGGGAATCGATGATATCTGAATCAAGATATTATTTTTTTTAAAGATATCATAAGAGAATCAAGATGAAATTCATAATTATTCAAGCTAAATAATATTTTTACTTGAAATGACTATATTTCTAAAAGAGATTTTATATTAAATATTTAGAAAGGATTTCAATTGATTTTAATAATTTGATTCTTGATAGATATCGGTCCCCGATTTTTGAATTATTCTTCTTAATTCTGATCGAAATGATAAGAAATAAGGAGAAGGAAAAATATGAGATTAAATAAACTTTATTTCGAAGGAAGAAGTTCTTATTCTTTCGAAAATTATAATATTTATATATTTGGTTAATTTAATCCTAGCAACAAAAATTTTTATATGAATAATAGAAATAATGGTAATGGAAATTTGAACAATATTTTGTTTTTAGAATAATTAGAAAAGTTGCTAATTTTTTAAAAACAATAAATATAATTAAAAAAATTAATCTATATAACGAATTTAAATTAAATAATTAAAATTAAATAATTATAGAATAATTTTCTATATGAAAATTTCATATATATATTTATTTATTAAATCGATATTTTAATATTAATGGAAAAAAAAATAAATTAATTGAATCTTCGAATTTAGAGAAAAATAAATTCTTCGATTCATAATTTCTTAAGTTCTCATAAAGAATTAGATTCATAAAATCT